CTTTCTAGGGGCGGGTGGTGGAGACGAGGCGCACCCAGGTGTGGCCGGCGGAGGGCACCGGAGGTCTCCGCCAAGCCCGAGTCTTCCCTGCCCGGGTGAAGCCCGGCATCCTCTCTCGCAGGATCGGGGGGGGGCAGGCGCGCAGCGCAGCCTCCGCCACTCACTCACTCGATGATCCGGCCGCAGGCTTCGCGCAGGAAGGCCGCGTCGAAGTGGCGCAGCACCGGCTCCCAGCGCCGCTCCGGCGGCCTCTCCAGGCTGACGTTGGCCAGGAAGGGCGCCGCAGGATCGCGCGCAGCGGCGGCGGCGGCGAGGTGTCCCCTTGGCTTAGCCCGGGAGGCGATCCGGGGGGCGGCCCCGTTGCTGCAGAGCAGCAGGAGAAAAGCCAACGCGCCCCAGGCGGAGGCTCCCCGCCGCCATCGCCACCCCATGGAGGCGCCCCGCGCAAGAAGGCGATCCTCGGGGGGCTGGAACCGGAGCCAGAAAAGAGGAGGCGGAGGAGGAGGACGGGAAGGGGAGCCCGATCCGGAGCGGCGCCGTGGACACGGCTTCGGATTGCACCTCCGGGACCGGCTGCCCTTTGCGCCCTCCTCCTCCGGGAGGAGCTTGGCCCTTTTTGGACAGCGGCCGGGCGGGCCACAATCCAACCGGAGAAGCCTTCGCGGACAAGCACGACCCGCGTGTGTTGGCTTTCTGCTTCCCATCGTGAGAAAAGAGGGGGAAGAAGAGTTTGTTTAAATTCATGATCTGCCCCTTTTTCTTCCCGGGGCAGGTTACAACAGACTGGGGGGAAAAAACAGGCACGTCCTCTTGAAAAGAACGATGAAACTTGCACTGAGATTAAAATCAAGTTTGGAAACAAGTCAAAAGACCTGTAAGTGAAGTGTTGTGTAATGGGAGGAGTGAAAAGCAACTCCCCCCCCCCCAAGGAAGCCTATGGAGGGGAAAATCTGCTCCTCTGGAAGACGTTGTTTATTGCAAGAGAGCTTTGCAGATGGCACGGCTCCCCGGAAAGATACATTTACGAGGCTAACTTTCACCCTAACAAAAAACAAAACAAAACAAAACAAACCACTAAACTGAGGCCATCACACCGGAGAAGCCCAGGCTCGCTTTAAAAGCCAGTAAATGAAGGAAAGCAGTAGGGGAAGAGGAAGGTCAAGCATTGGGATGTTTTGACTCCATAAGGGAAGCCACGACTGAGTTCAAGAAGGGCTATTTAGGGATTGGGTAACTTCAAAGGTTGTCAGTTCACAAGGTAGTTGTAAACTAGAAGTAACTCGATGGTGCATAACTAGGTACTTCTGTTGCTCTCTTCTGCAGGAGATTGGACATTGTGGAGGTGCAGCCATAACCCACAATGCAGTGCAGCCAAATCCATCTCCAAGATTCTCCCATCAAAACATTCTTGTTCTTAATATGTCTTTTCCCAGTATTCTCGTCAGCTGTAACCATTGGCATTTTCCCTTTCTCAGTATGTCTATGAAGTAGTCTGCCATTCTGTTCTTCATGATTTCTTGGTCTTTATTCCTTTACCTTAGTACTTCTTTGTTGGCCGGTCTCTTGACCCAAAGACGCTCTTAGCAATCGATGATAAATCTACAGTTTAAATGGGTCTCTCTAACAGCGGCTTGTGTCAAAGACTGTAAGGCCATCCCTACTGGTTGTTGTAAATCCAGCTTGTGTTTTAAGGTGGTGGGGAAGAGAGAAAGAGAAGCAAGCCAAGCCTTTTTTTCCCCTCAGGTCTGCTGGCAACTCGAGCTGTGGAGGGATGGGAGGCAGGCAGCCTGTTGGACTGTTCCTCTCTTCTGCAGGAGATTGGACATTGTGGAGGTGCAGCCATAACCCACAATGCAGTGCAGCCAAATCCATCTCCAAGATTCTCCCATCAAAACATTCTTGTTCTTAATATGTCTTTTCCCAGTATTCTCGTCAGCTGTAACCATTGGCATTTTCCCTTTCTCAGTATGTCTATGAAGTAGTCTGCCATTCTGTTCTTCATGATTTCTTGGTCTTTATTCCTTTACCTTAGTACTTATTTGTTGGCCAGTCTCTTGACGCAAGATGCTCTTAGCAATCTATGATAAATCTACAATTTAAAGGGGTCTCTCTGACAGCGGCTTGTGTCAAAGACCATAAGGCCATCCCTACTGGTTGTTGTAAATCCAGCTTGTGTTTTAAGGTGGTGGGGAAGAGAGAAAGAGAAGCAAGCCAAGCCTTTTTTTCCCCTCAGGTCTGCTGGCAACTCGAGCTGTGGAGGGATGGGAGGCAGGCAGCCTGTTGGACTTCTGACAGCCAGTCTTGAGTGTCAAAAAAGATATCCACCAGGAAGAGAGCCACAATTTGGATTGCACCACTATGTACAGGGAATACCTGCAAAGCACACACATCACTCAAGTGGAAGGAGGTGTTACATACAGCACTGATGTGGGCCAGTCTTGAGTGTCGAAAAAGCTATCCACCAGGAAGAGAATCCCAATTTGACTTGCGCCACTATGCACGGAGAATACTTGCAAGGCACACACATCACTCAAGTGGAAGGAGGATCTGCATTTATTAAATCACTCTCTCCAAGATGCCATGGGCTTTTTCCTGCAGGCAAGCAGTGCGAATCAGAGTCCTTTACAGAGTTGGTGGGAATCTCAAGAGTCACCTAGTCCAGTGGTTCTCAATCTGGAGTCCCCCCCCAGATGTTTCTGGACTGCAATTCCCAGAAGCCTCTACCACCGGCTGTACTGGCCGGGATTTCTGGGAGTTGCAGTCCAAGAACATCTGAGTTGCCCAAGGTTGGGAACCAATGATTAGTCTAACCCTTTGCAGCAGGGTGGATTTGATTTAAATCAAATTGATCTAAATTTGGATTTAATTTTTTAAAAAAATTAAAAATAACAAATTTTTAAAATTCAAGTAGTGATCTATATCATGATTTAAATCACTCTCATTTTTTAAAAAATAAATTATTCTTATCTACCCTGTTCTGCAGTAAATCCATACACCTGGTGTCCAGGCTCCGATTCATAATATCTGGTGACGGTGCGTCTCCTAACCCTTAAGGCTGTTTGTTCCACTATTAACAACTATTATCATCAAGAAGTTATTCCTAAAGTGTAGGTAAAATCTTCCTTGTAATTTGAACTGGGAATTAGAGGCATGGCTATAAAAAAGCTTTACTGTCTGTACTTCCTGGAATACTTAGGCATACTCTTTTCCTGTTCTCCAACAGCCATAGTAGCAGTTTTTAAAAAACAGCCTATTCCAAAATTTAATGTGGACATTTTTTGTGTGTGTCAAGACCATACAGAATGCAATGGGCTTTCTGGTAGGAGGGCAAAAAGGGCCGTATGCATTAATGAGGAGAAGCCAAGATGGTTAGCCTCACTGACCACACGGCTTGCTTAGCAGAAAATCCTTAAACACGCTCATTGGAGGGGAGAAAATATTTTAAATCTGTTTTACAACAATATATGTTACACTTTATATTTATGTTTACATTATATTTGCAAACTGGTTTACTGAGATGCAGATACATCCCTCTGCAATCCACTGGATTTCTCCCCTTGGATGCAGGCTTAAGATTCAAGTCAATACCCCCTTCATTAATATAATCAGACCCCTAAAAAGCTTCTTCGAGGTATTAAAGTTCAGGGTTTTACTCCCTGTCATCTACACCACGCAGAGGCACTTTGCCGCTTTTAGCCGGGTTTAGTTAATACTCTTCTGTCTCTTGTCGGTTTTATTTTCCACTGACATACGATTGCTCCTGTGTCTTCTTGGAGGTCAGAGGTTACTTCATTAGCCTCTTCTTCTGCCTCAAGAGTGCATCCCGCAAAGCAAGCTAAAATGCCAAAAGAATATACATCAGTACACAGAACGGAGATAGGCTGAGGAGTAAAAAATCACTGACGAGCTGAACATCTGCATTGCACAACGCTGCAAATCTCCTGCCCTCTACACACCACACCCACGTAACAGTTTCCCAACTGTGCAAAATCAGACTTGTATTTTCATAATTAATTCCACCAGCAAGACCAGTCGCAAGGGAGGGAACTGGTTGTGAAGACATCGATGGTGACACTGAGCCGAACTGTATTGCACTGGGCTGCCAAGGACTTTCTGGCTCAAGGCGACCCTACTAGGATTGTCAGGGTAGCTGAGATGCTCAAGGAGCGATCACCCGTTCTCCCCAACCACCTTGGTGAGTTTCCACAGCTAAGCAGGAATCTGGATCCAGTTGTCCTGAGTTGCAGCCCAGCAGCTTCTCCACTACTACTCCACACTGGTTCTCTGAAAAATACTGAACTATGCCTGGAGGCAAAAAAAAATGTTGAAACCGAGGCTGTCCTACACTTTGGGCACATCACAAAAAGGCAGGATGATCTGGAAAAGACCAGGAAGGTGGAATGCAGCAGGAAAAGAGGAATGTCAGATGGATAGACTCTCTAAAGCAGGGGTCTCAAACATGCGGCCCCCCAGATGACAGTTTGTGGCCCTCGCCTTGCCTGCCCCCCCAAAGCGCCCACACATCCTCTGCTGTCAAGAGTAAAAAAAAAGCCTTGCCTCGCTCGCCGGCTCTCTCCCAAGACAGCACCTCTTGCACCCTCCATCCAGAACTGCAGCCTGCCAGCCAGCCCACCTGTCTGTCGGCTAAGAAAACTCCTGGGCGGCTTCCTCGGGCTCTTGCTCCGCTTGGCAGAAAATCTGATGCGGCCCAGCCTCACCCAGACTCTGCCTCTAGCGGCCCCCAGGTAAATTGAGTTTGAGACCCCTGCTCTAAAGGAAGCCACATCTTAGAGTCTAGAAGAGCTGAGCAGGGCAGTGGGGAGAGACCTGGACCTTCACAGGGTCACCAAAAGTTGGAGGGACCGGACAACACATAACGAACAACAGTTCAAAACACTAAAATATCATCTTCTAAACTATGGTCTTGCTTCTGTAATTTTCCGAGACTTCCTACTACCTGTTTTGGCTTCTATACCAAAAGGTATAAAGAGAAGAAAAGGGAGAAGCTTGAATTTACCAATGTGTTGGCAGCACATACACTAAAAAGCCAACATGAGCCTGCAGCCAGGTTTTAAAAACCTCCAAGGAGGCCCTCCTCTGAGTAGCGCCACCATAACGATCTGAAACTAACAGCTAAGGGAAGCAACATTCTCTCCCTCTCTGCGGTCCTGCAAAGATATTTTGATTCAGATGGGCATGTCACTTGATCTGCTGCTGGGGGTGACCGGATGCTAACTGTGCTTGTTTTTAAGTGCATTTAGTTCATTTATATTTTGATCTTCCCATATATATTTTAATCCCATACATTCATCTGTATGTTCTTATTGCTGCCCTGTGTTGGGAAGGCTGACAGGAGGAAACAAAGAGAAATGGAAATGGAAATAAAAGAAAAGAGACACCATGCAATTAACATCCACCCATCTCCAAAGGCTAATAATGGTTATGTAGTTCTCATAGTTTCTTTGTGCTTCTGTCTTGGACTGAAAATTCCATTAAACAGATTCGTCGCTGTAATGGGTATCTTTTCATCCCTGCCTTCAGGGCAAAGCTCAACCCAATTTAAGCATGCAATTATTTCTTCCCAGTAGTTTTACAACATGACATGCCAGAAAATAAGTACGCATCAGGACAAAAAATAATAGATGCTACATATAGTCAACAGGCAAAGCTGTCCTATTTCTTGTTCAAACAAGAAATAGGACAGAACCTATTGTTTTTTACAGAACCCCTAGCTGCATAGCAAATAAATCACCGGTTTTCTTATTGGATGGGATTCATCTCTCCCCTTTGGGGGATCTGCGCAGGTAAGATACACTTTTCACCTGGCTAGTTATTAAAATAGCATACACATTCCTTAATCACTTGCCTGTTTCTCTCTGAACGAGCGCTTATTTTTTGACCGGACGTTGTGGCTATAGCGCATCATCATGAAATTCTTTTGCTTCTTTTTCTCTTTGTTAGTAGAGCTGGCAAAAGGATTCAGTTTGGCTTTCTTTTTCACAAACTCTTTTCTGTCTGTCTTGCCAGCCTAAAGTAAAAAAAAAGGGTGAAGAAGGAGCAACTGATCAAGCTCAAACTGTTTTTTTGCTTACTTTAAAAGACGTGTTTTGCTTTGTTTCGGCCAAAAACCAAACGTGCAAATATAAATAAAACCAGTACTAACATCTGAAGTGCAATCACATTATAGAAGTCCAGGATAGAAAAGACAACAGCACTAGTCGATAGATTGTTTCTGTCTAAATATTCAACAATTACCATACTTTTATGTGTATAAGACGCCACCACTTTTCTAACCCAAAATTAAGAAATCTAAGAGGGGCTTAGCAAATGTAGGGTAAAAAGGATCAAAGTGTTGCAGGATGGCTTTGATCCCTGCTTTCTCCCTTTGTGCAAAGCCCCACATGGCTTAGCAAAAGGACAGGGAAAGGGATCAAAGCAATTCCATGACTACACAATCATTTTATTCACTTTCCCCCTTATACAGCCATGGGATTGCTTTGATCCTCCCCCCCTCCTTTTGCTAAACTCCATGGGACTTAGCAGAGGGGAAAGCAGGGATCAAAGTGATCCTGCAG